ATATTCTGCTATGCCAATAACAAGTCGGAGCTTCGGTGATCCAAACGCGAGATGGNTGCTGATTCCAGAAATTTTTCCAACTTTCTATAACTTATATACTCCGTTAAAAATTGTTCAAACAGAAGCACATGGTGCATATATCGATTAGAATTTTATTTAATTAAAATATATAACATAATTAAAATTATTTAAATATAAATAATATAAAGAGGATATTCTTGGAGAAATAAATGAAAAGAGAAAATATATATTATATATGTAAGTAAATATATAGTTTATTTTTTTGGTTAGGTTATGAACTTTCGATTAATAATAAATTTCACAATTTTACAGTAATTATCCATTTATTATTGAGAATTAATTCAATGGAATGATACATTATATGTATATATATTATATTAAATTGTTAAAATCATAAACTAAACATAATTAAGTAATCATTGAAAAAATCATTCTGGTTCCTTGATTTTTTCAATGCAATTTCGAAGATATGAACTGAATCCCAATCCAATAATAATTGAAATCGTTAAATTAATTTATATAAAAATATAAAGATTATAATAATAATTATAATAGAAAAATAATAAATTTGAAAACGCAAATAGCAATCTAACAATAATAAGCATTTGTGTGTATTATTTGCTATAACGTGGCAATTTATGAAAGAAGGGCAGAAAGAGATTAAAAATTAAGAAATCAGCACAATCTCTACGTCATAGATGAAACTATGAATAAATCAGTGTAACATAAGGTCAATCGAAAAAATATTCTAGATTCTACATTTCAAATAAATTTCTTAGTATGATAAAATAATATATATATATATATTAATATATACATATTTATACATATTTATAACACTTTTTCAGGAGTTAAAGAACGAAAGAAAGAAAATGGCAAAAAAGTGACATACGAAATTTTTTTCTTTTAGAATTTTAAAATTGAAAATTTTCAAAATTTCAATTAAAATTCTCAATCAATTTTGTAATTTTGTATCAAGAAAATATAATCCAAGAAAATGTGGCATATGAAATTGTTTTGATATTTCTAAGAACAAAAATTTTAAATCAAATTTTATATATATATACTTACATATACAATATTTATCTCTACATGTATACTTATCTCCTATTTTTTGCAATATTTAATATTTTTTAATAATTTTAAATTTTATAATCAAAATAATATCAAAATCAAGCAAGATATTTTAACTGATAAAGTTTATCCTGTAATTGGAAGTATTGAATGTAGATAAACATAGTATAGAAAATATATTTTTAACCAGTGTACACGGATGTAAGAATATAGATTTTTAATTTTAACATATTTTTTAAAATCACGAAAATCTTTAATAAAACAATCGAAAAATTATATATAAAATTTATTTATGATTTGAATCAGTAGCTAAAATTTAAAGATTTACTTTAAATTAGTTTTAAATAGTTGAAAATACAATGTCAACTTACTACTTACAATTAACATATGTAATGTATAATTAATCATTTATCTTACTATAAATATCTTTCCTTAATTAGACTGTAACAAACATGCTCCGAGCAAAGTACTTTTTATGTTCATCAATAATCGTGACAGTGTTCCAAAACAACGTAACTGAAAATAGCAAGAGGCTATTCGGTTCATTGGATCAAAGTGTAGTACGAAATTATCGTACTAATTTCAGTCCATCTAATCAACATTATAATTTAGTCAAGTTTTATTTTTAAAGAAATATTTCTTCATATTCCAATTTCAATGCAATTTCAAAATTGTATCAATAATTATGCAATTACAGGAATATATGATGTGCTTTAAATCTAAATTGAAAATAAATAAAATTCAACAAATTTTAACCTCGGTAAGTAGTAGTTCGTAAATTTATCTCGTTGAATTTTGAATAATTTTACACATTTTTAAAATCGACCATTTCCTACGCGATAATTTAACACGCTTTCCTCGTAAAGGAAAAAAAGTTACGTTCTCTGTTATAAAAGACATTACCCGGACCGAAACCATCGTTTACCTAATTGTAAACGGAAACACATTTCTCTCGGTCATACAAATGTACTTGTTGTGTAAAAGCTTTATTTATAGCATTATTCCGACTACGAGATATAATTCGATTTCACATTATATAATTACATCTCGGAATTACGCAAATCGATCGCATCGCGAACGTGTATGTCATTCCTCTACCGTTTTCCGGAATTACATAGAGTAAAAAGTAACACATGCATTGATCATCAACATCGTTGTATCGTATACGCAATTATGGTGGAATTGCATAATCATTGCTAATGATAAATTCCATTTATACGAAGGATGAGACTCGACAATAACGAAGAACACGCGATACTAACTGCATCGCAACTTTATTTTTCTATCTCTAAGTTTAACAATTCGTTTACGAGATGCTTGTGGTTTTTGACACCACGATTCTTATGTTTATTCTAAGACAATATTAATGATTTTTTTCACACGTAAATAAAATGGATAAATTGGACACGTACACCGAGAAAAAAAGATTCGTTGTCAATATTTGCAATAACTGCACATACCATATTAAAATATATAATTATCGTATATATTTAACATGCGAATATAAATAACAGTGCGCATATACATGTATGTAAATATATGTTCGATAGAACGCATGTGAAACAATCGCGCGACAAAATTATCGGATAACAAAGAATATTCAGGCTTCGATGAATAATAAATGATGATATTTTATTTTCCACATTTTGCTACACTTTTTTACATTGTAACAAAAATGCCAGAAATAATTGTCATTTTATTTTCTTATTATTTGATATTCAAAAATTCTTTGTTTAAGTCAAATTCGTTTCCCATATCTATCTCAAATTTGATGAATCATTTATAGAAACAATACGTTAAAATATAATTATATAAGAATACGTATTTAAATCCCATTGTATTAGACGCGAAGCGATATTCGCGTTAGGAAATTTCACGGTTAATCATGTCACAAATAATTTCTCTAATGAAAGGAACGTCATTGTCGAGTGATTATCGTACAACCACGTATCGTTATCGATGTAATATCCAGCAACGCTTTATCCGTTAATGATATTACTTCGCTTTGACATTTCCCGTCAATTTATGAACTATTTATGCGATCTCCCGTACCGAAATGTGACCATAATATTGATATAACACGATAGAAAATTTTGACCACTCGATATCGAAAATTTGGATTATCGTCGATGCGAACAATGAAAATGTTTTTTAGAATTCTTAAACTTATATAATTTATATATATTATATATTATATAATTAGAAAAATCATATACCTAATCAACGATTAATTAATACGACCGGTTAATATGGATTTTCGAAATATTTCGAAAAAAAAAAAATAATTGCGTAAAGCGATCAATTTCGATTTTGCTTCAAAGATATTAACAATTTTTCTTTTCAAGATTGGAAAATCTATGTAATTGATGGGATGTTAAAAAAAAAAAAAAAATAGCGAAAATATTTTTCAATATTCTTCTTAAATAAACTTGAATTCCCTTATGGAGATGTATAACATTGATTAAACGAATCAAATGACATTAAAATAAAAAATTTGTACAAGAATAAACTATACATATCTTAATTACGTCGATGAATAACACTTTTTTGCAGTTCGATAACATTATGTATTTTTTATCCAAAAAATCAATGACAACGTCCTTGGCTTAATCGACAGGCGAGTGGTTCATAATATGTTACACGATATTTTTCTCCACACGCTTTACCGTAAATGATGTAACACGCAAGTAAATTATCTGAAACAATTTTCTGCATCGTTTCTTGCACGAGCATAATCACGTTGAACGTGTTATAAGCGAGAACCTCGTGTACCTGCACGTGGTTGACATTTTCCGGCATGTGACTCGATTTCCCTCCTTCTTCTTTATTTCATGCACCGCTTGCACATCGTCGACGATGCACACCTGTGTAACCATATCTACGAGCAAGCATCTCCTCGTCACCTGTACTTATACTACTTGTAAATAAACGATAATGTAGTCGCGTAACGATGCGTCATTGACGTCGATTCATTTCCAAATCGAAAGTTTAGAATTTTATTTTTAAACTTTCAAACTTTCCTTTCCAAATCTTCAAATGGAAACTTTGTTTTTTTTTTTCTATTTCAAAATTTTCGAATAAAATTTTATTCCAAATTATAACTACGACGAAATCGGATATTTTACGTTAAACAAAAAATAATTGACTCGTAAAAGAACAATTTTAGACTTTTGAAATTATAATACGGTTGATATTAATATCGAAAAATGAATCAAAGAAACTGAAATATCTTGAAAATTCTTGACAATTGTAAATAAAAAAATCAGGATGAATCAGGAAAGCATAATTAGTAATGTTAAATTTTTTGCACTCCCACGACAATATTTCGAAATTGATTCGGGGCCAAAGTCGACAATAATTTGAATTAATATGGAATTAATAGAAAAAAATTAAAACAATTACGATGAAAAAATTAATTACAATTTTTAGACAATACGTATAAAACGAAGAATTTTTATACCATAAATTAATTTATTAATTTATTAATCGCATTTTTATACTCGTGCTCGCTTCAAATTAACACAGTTCACGTGTCGTTAAGTAAGTTACGCAACGATTATTTTATATCAAAACTGATGATAACTGCAAAATGCTGCGTGAATTCCACTATCTGAACTTGATTCGCCGCTACGAGACACGTGCGACGAGATATATCCTTTTTTCCATCCAATGAATTATACTGGCATTCATCTTGCGCGCGCAATAGCACGGGATGCACGAAGCTGTGATTTCGTAAGCCGAGATTTACGAGTTACTCTCCATTAATAGCGGCTACAATTATACGGATCCGCCCATTGGAACAAGAATATCCGCGAACTACGCTCGACAAACCGACGAATCGTACTTATCACGTAATGCGTTTCACGCGCACCAAGTAATTTTGATTGTCTTATTACTATCTCGGCAACCAGGCGATTAACAAAGGAAAAGGAAGTCCAAAAATGGAGGTCGAATAAGATGGAATCCTCGTACGATGAACGGTACGCTTCCTTGTTTGTCTTGAGAAAATGGAGTAAGCGGTTTCTATAAGTGGACCTTGATGGATATAAGAACGTTGTAAAAACTTTGGCAGTGAGCGTGTTCCGTGTTTGGATAACGTCGTCAAAATCAAAATCGATCGGAACGGGAGGATAAAAAGAGGATACAGGGAGCAATATTTATTTCGAAAGATATTTCATCAAAATAATTAAAAATAAACATTCGTTATTTACTAAACGCGTCCAACGATCGAGTCAATTTTTTCATTTTCGTTACGATTCGCGTGCTCGTAATAAAAAGATTTCGATTGGGAAGGCCTGGTTGAGAAATCGATCATCGAAATTACTCACGATCGTAATTACGAAAATCGAGGATTTTAATTGGTACGAAATCCGGGTCACAAAAGATCCGACAACAATTTAAATACTCGTAGTTCACAACGTCCTTCATCGACCTTACTACCCACCACTTTAGTTGGCTCTGCCCGTACGTGCTGTCACTTTCACATATGGTTGCACCCACACTATTGGCTGCCTCGTGTTCACGTGCGTCAGCTATCCAGTCAGGGGACGACCTGTTTTCTCTCTTTATATGCCGACGATTCTTCGCGATCCTGACCATTTTATAAATGTATCGAATTATTCATCTTCCGATGTCGCACGATGGAAATTTTAGGAGAATGATCTCGATTTATCTTCCACAAAGAAAATAAACGACATTTACAAATAGTGATCATCAAGTATATACATTTTTCTCTCAACTCTAACATTCTCAATTACAAAATACTCGTTACAGTGCAAATAAATTCGTAAATTTGGCAATGATTGAATAAATAGTTACGTTTTCCAACAAACTGTGTACGACGTGAATCGTAAACAAAGAAAAGGATGAATAACAGTATTATCTTTTTGTCTGTGTCTCCGCGAATCAAATGAATTCATACTTGTCATCGTGTTAACTACACTGTTTCAAGATTAATAATCCATCCCTTATCTCGAATTATCCTTCTTCAATGATATAATAAAATCCATTTCAAGTGCTATAACTACGTAAGTTATAGCTAATTTCTAAAATCAAATCGGATTTTTTTTAAACCAGACGTTTATTTCTATCATTTTCTCGCGCAACATTTTGTTAATACTATTGTTAATAATAATAATTGTAAATAAATCGAAATGAAGAAAATAAAAAATATGATTTAAGTTTAATTTTGCATCAAACAAAAGAAAATTTGTTATACGTGAATAATTCATCTTTTATAATTTTAATATTAAACGCATTCTGACTCTATATAATTAACGTTTAAAATTTTAAAAATCAAACGATTTGTCAACAAGGATGATTAATTTAGCTCGTATTTTATTTTTTCGAAACGATCAAAGTAATTCGGAGTTATTCAACATCTTTCCACGATCTCTTTGTTAAAACATGGTCATCAACGGCATTCGCTTTCGCATTATATCATATCGTGTATAACTCACGTGCGTAAAGTAGGTACATAATGCATTCGTAATCACACAAACCTATGATATTTTTATCGGGCAATCGACACCACCAGGTAATTATTTCTTTAGACAGTTTATCGTTTTAGTTAGCGACTTTTACGCATACAAAAATAGCAAGGAAATTTCACGATAAATCTAAAATGAATCGGTTGAGTTTTAAATTTGCAAACATAGTATAGTATCGTGAAGTGAAAAAACAGACTGACACGTGATAATACTTGGAATAAATAAGTTCGTTAAAGAAATTGCAGAAATTTCCAGTTTTTGAACGTGCAATCCCTCTAAAACGTATTCACACAACGATTTCGTGAATTTACGTCAAACTTTTATCTCGATTTATCAACGATAATTATCTTCTCGGTTTCGTGTAATTCTCGTTATACATACAGATACAGATTATTTCATCACGTTAAAATGTACATTGCAACTAAATAAATTGTTCAAAGTTAAACTAAATTAAAATAAACTAAATAAATTGTTCGAATTATTAAACGTTCTCGACAAGATGCGAGATTATAAAAAAAAAATCACGATCAACGGTAAACCTAGTTTTCAGCGAATGAATCATTCGACCGTTCAGTGACGCACTAACCATGTACAAAAATCTCATATAAATCGAGTGGGTAGATAAATATTTTATCTAAAAGTGAATGATTTTGAGGGAAAAAAATAAAATTTCGACGTGATTAATTTTTTCCTAAGTATATATGTGAAAATATTAGCTTTTTCAAAAGAGTAGAGAATTATTTTTAGAACGTTAAATTTATTGAGAGAGAGAAAGAGAGAGATTAGTAATGGTCACGCAATGATTGTACATATTATATACGTATAGTATATACGTAGAAAAATAATAAATTGTCATCATTCTTGATCGACGATCAAGAATCTCGATAAATTCATTTCAAACTACGAATAATTGTACATTATTATAAAAAAAAAAAAATTAAATCTAAAATACTGAACGATACTGAAACAAATTCGCAATAACAGAATTTGTCGATAGATACTATATTTTAACAGTCTCGAAACCAGTCTGATGGAACGATTTAACCGAGTCATCCCGTATATCTGCGGCAATTTCCCCTAACGAATGATGAATCATCGAAAACGGGAAATAATTGATTAGAAAGAAGGAACGAACGGTTTCACGAGACCGAGAACGTTCCATCATACCGTCCGTATTATCGTGCTACGTGTGTCGATAACCGACGAGGATGGCCGACAGTGTCGGCTGGACGACACGTGAATAGCAATGAATAGTATTTCGCATACGCGCATCGTGACGATATTACGCCTCCGTGTGTATCGTAGGGCAAATAGGGCTTATGTTCGCGCAATTATAACCGCGATGACGAAAGCGATGATAGGGCATTTAAGGACAACCCTCCCTTATCGTCTCGTTACATGGCGAGGAACCATACGTATAATTCGATCGATTGCGCGCCTTACGTGAACGGTAATTGGACGAACGTCTACTCGTGAGTAGAAAGTCACGATGTATAAATGTACGCCGTGTTGCATGCACGCACACGTGGTACGTAACGGGTGGTCGAAAAAGAAAAAAAATTCTACGTGACGATCCGTCCGCTGATGCAATTATACCGATCCAACTCGATTTCTAACTTGCGATTTGCACCCGTTGCGCACCTCCTATACGTGACACACGTAGATATTCTTATTCTCTATCCTTTCTTCCTCTATTTTTTCTTTCTCTAATCTTAGATGGTTCGTTACCGTTTGCGTAACCTAGCGTCGGAAGCATCGTAACTAACAGGAATGAGAGTGAGTAACACTTTCCTTTGACCGACGACAAATACGATACGCTTTATCTTTGATGCAAGCCTTCTCGATATGTTAGAAGCTTCTCGGTAAAAAGGAAATTTATTCGACTTCGTAACTTATAAGAACGATTCATCGGTAGTAATTGCAGAGTTGTATTTATTAAGAGGATCAGAGGAATCATTATGAGAATTTTAAAAATTTTATTTAACGTAGAACGTTAGATAATGAGGACAATCTTTTTTTTGGAAATAATAATAAAGAAGAGTCGATAGTAGAATAAAGTAGAAGCGAAAAATCATAGAGATAATGAAAGTTTCTGAAAGTTTTAGAATAGAAGGGAAAAGATCAATCACTGATTAAAACGTGATTCGTTACTAATAAAATGGAAATTTTTTTCTACGTAACTAACCATGCTTCGCATACGTTTCACAAGGAAAATCTAATTTCCAATTTCTCGCCATAAATCATTTTAATTCAAACATGCAGAGAAACAACTATATACCAGCAACTAAACCAGAGCCGAGGGAAATGATCGGTTCGCACGATTTCTCAGTGAGCATTTGACGAATTATCGTACATTGAACGCAAACCGATCTTAATTATCAATTACGAAGCGTTCTATCTAGTCTATTTTTATTTGAACGCAAAATCGATTTACAATTTATCGATAAAAAATTAGATTTAATTTCGCTATCCTTATAAACGATCGGTTTTCGGATATGAATCGATGGAAACAAAGTAAAAAAACATCCGTTAATCGTTAAAACATCGTTAATTTTTCGATAGAAAGGTAAAAAGTCGAGTAAATATTACGAAAGAACACGATCTCTTTTTTCTTTACTTC